CCATATGCTATTCTGACTCTCATATTTCATGGCATCCTTTACTTTAGGGGACACAATGCTTCAAGTGAGCTAACGTTTTTTTGTTATGGACGTATAAGTCTTTAAAGCTATCCCTGTGATTTCTGTTGAACAAGTGATCAGACTACTATCTCCGTCTTTCTTTGATTTCACTACCTCCTATTATAACTTGTTGAGAATCGTCTTTAATACAACTTTGTCCAAATATTTACCCCTCATCCCTCTCAACCATGCTAGCTTATACATTTCTTTGTATCTAGCTTTTAGTACAAGTCGTCTAAGGATTTATCATGTGCTTTGTCAGTCGCCTTCTTGTCTTCTCTCTTCACTCTCTTATGTTCTTCAAAGGGTTTTCCATCTACTGCTGTTGATAACTTCCTATACCACTCCTTCTCAAAAAAAAATTCCTATACCACTCTTTTTTTTTCTTTATTAGCCTTGCATCTTATCATTCCGGTGTCACAATTACTGTGGTCGAGGTCTTATACTTTTAGATATAGCTATACACTTGCTACATTTTAATGCAACTATTCATTTTCTTCCACTGGATAACTGTGTTAGCTTCTAACTCCGATGCTGCCTCCTTCAATAACTCGTCCTTAAATGCAATTTGGTGTGTACCATTTAGTATCCGCCATAGAATCCTCGGTGCTTGCAGCAGTCCTTCTGTTTTGCCCCACACTTTCGCTTCACATCTAGAGCCACCCGTCTATTTTGGGCGTTTCCTGGTCCGGACAACTTTTTTGGCAAGGATGGAGTCTAATTGACTGTGATACCTACTTTTAAATGTTATCAAGTGTGATTCCCTCTTTACAGTAGGTTTTGGTCAATTTTGATACTTGGACACACCTATATTTTTCCGAAATTTAGTATTGGTTTCCTTATAATGCAGTTTGCGGAGTATAGAGTGTAGACAATTTGCTTTCAGTTTTCTCATTTAATCATACTTGATGAATATAGACACTAATGAGGTTGATTGTATTCTTTTGCCGCACTGATTTTAATAAGACAATATCATTAATTCTCTCTATATCTGTAACTTTATCCATAAGGTCATAATTTTGTGATGACTCTTTCCTACTTATATATACCGCAGGATACCTCAAATTATGAGTTGTGTTGTCGATCCCTTGACCTTTTTTCATATTCATTTAGTCTCTTGTGGATACAGACATGCAATATTAACCTTCCCTCTCTTTAAAGGTATTCACTAGTTCTAGGTCTTTCCACCGAACAAGTCTAAGATGTCTCTCTCTTGGTCTAGCTTTTTTATCCTCATTTTCAAAAAATTCCCAGGATCCTTTCTATCACTACCATGTTGATGTGGTAGGACTAACTTCTTTATCCACACCCATGCATGGCGTATAAACCCTTGCTTATACTCCCTAACACCCAAGTACAGATGAGCAGATTGTTGTCTTTCTCCTCTTTTTTTTAATTGAGAAATTCCAAGGGTGGCACAAGATTGAAACTCGATGGGTAATGGGCCTGCCCCTCTACCCTCCTTCACCTAAATACCAGGCTCAAACCCATGATGTGCATATGATGCACTCTTACCACTAGACCGAAGTCCTGGGTGGCAGATGGTTGTTTTTCTTAAAGTCAAATCCAATTTGCATAGGTTTATTTTGAGTGATTTTGGGTAAGCAATGTAAAGAAAATATGATGCAGAGAGAGATCATGGGAAGCATATTTGATATTTAGAAAATATAGAAGGATATTGACTTGTTAGAAAATTTGGGTACTGGAATTTGTGAGGGCTCTTTTAGACTTACACATATAGCACCCTATTATCTTTCTTCATAGACCCTTCTTCCTCTTTGCGATGCAAAGGCAATGTCAGGGAGGGCGAGAGAAAGGAGACATATGAGTGGGATGGAAGCCATAAGCGGAGGCATGAGTCTTTCTCACGAAGATCGAAGCTTAGAGATGAGTCTATTCCAAATTGACTGAAAAATCCGGGGTAGGAGGCTTGATGACAAGTGACAAGGTGAAGAAAAGCAAAGTCAAGGCTGATCTAAGAAAAGACCCGTTCTCAACTCTCTAGGTGATAGTTACCATTTGTTCCATGTCATTGTGGTTGTAGGGCATCTATTAAATTAATTACTGAAATAGTACGTTTTTGGGGTATCTTTTCAGGACATCTAATGAAGTAGAAACGCTAAAGTTAGTTGGTAGGTCCCTGACTAACAAGAACTACTGCTATTTTTTTTTTTGGGG